GCACACTGATCTGTCCCGCACTGATCTGATGTCTTGGGTGACGTGGCCTCTCTTTTATAATGGAGAGGCCAAGTGATCGGGGCTGAGTGCTGCAGTCCCAAGGTCGGGGCCGTGGTCTAACTCTAGACCGGGCTTGTGCTAAAAATAGCAGCAGTCCTGACCTCGGGATATGAACAGTCAATCCTATTTTTAGAACGGGACTGGCGTAGGCCCAGTCCCCGGTAGATGAACAGTCAGTCCCACGCTAAAAATAGCGTGGGACTGTGTTATTTTTAGAACGGGACTGGCGTAGGCCCAGTCCTTGGTAGATGAATAGTCAGTCCCACGCTAAAAATAGTGTGGGGCTGTGCTATTTTTAGAACGGGACTGGTGCAGCCCCGACTTTGTAGAATGAACAGTCAGTCCCGTGCTAAAAATAGCACATGACCCTATTTTAATTATTCGGGCCTGGCTGTTCATCTATATGGCTACTTAGGGCTGTTCCTTTCCTGGCCGGGTTACGCGGTTGCGTCGGTCCGGTCCCAACCGGTCAAAATTGAATATCTCACTAACCCTTGGTCCGTTTCCGGTGCCGTTTGGACCGGACCCCACTAATTGGCCCATTGCGGTCGCGTTGGTCTAGTCCAACGGGGACGATTAGGTCTCCGGTGGACCGTACTGCTGCGCCGTCTTTCCCTTGATTTCGGCCCAGGGGAAATCTAACCGATGTGTTAGGGCCCAACTTGACTATGACCGTGGACGTCCCTAAGCGCAGTTTTGACGCAGCGCGGAGGTTGACTGCGATGAGTCAATTTCTGCCGCTGCGCCGCATCATCTTATGACAACGTGGCTGTGGATGGAATAGCCAAGGGGGCCAGGGCCAAGGTGACCAGGGCGGCCAGCAAAGGGGCCAAGGGTATGGGAGGCCCCGCTTCGACTGGCGGAACGCTACCTGCTGGCATTGTGGTGTCGTAGGTCACACGATTCGGTTCTGCCAACAACGGCGGGATGATGAGCTTGCAGGCCTGATCTCCTCTTGTATGGATGGGGACATATATGACAAGTGGGGGAAGCACATTGACCCCAAGACCCCGGGAGGGATCAGGCAGGAGGCCCTCAGGCAGGCGGTGGCGGGGCCACCAACATCCCCGACCATGTTCAGAATGTGGTAGGAGAGAGAAGACTCGGCCATAAGAGTCGAGGAGATTGCGGGGCAGAGTGAAGAGGTTACGCAACGGCTGACAGTTGGGGCCATAAAGGAAGAGTCGATAATTGTTGAATCGGATGACGAAGGGCAAGAGGGCGAAAGGGAGTCGGCCATAGTCACCCTGGAAAAGATGGAGGATCTGATAGAAAAAATGGGGAGGTATCAGCGGAGACTAAAAGAGCTATGTGATGAAGTTCAGGGGTAGAGGGCCGACCTCCCGAAGGTTTTCCTCTATGAGACCGGGCCGGGGCCGGCGGATGGACAACAAAGTAGCCCCGGGGTTGCCGCGGCGGGGTCGGGCCCTAGGTCAGGGATGACGTTCAGGCCTCCCACCTCGCATGGGCAGGCGCCGCAAGCGACTCAAACCAGGAGCCAAAGTAAGGCGGGCCCTAGTCAGGCACCAAGCCAAGCACCAAGTCAGGCGCCTCCGCTGAAGAGACCCGAGCCTGAGCGTAGGAAAGAGGTGGTTGAGGTCCGGGAAGAGGAAGAAGAAGAGGATGATGACACAGAGGATGAAAGACTCCGTCAGGAGGAGGATCGGCGGACGGAGCAGAGAGCTCAGAGAAGAGAGGCGCAGGAGAGAGTCGAGCCAGATCCACAGGACGGGGTGCCCAGGAAGAGAAAGCACACCGTCAAGTTGGAGGAAGACTTCAACGTGGAAAGGATGGTGGACCGGCTCCTTGAAGGTCACAATGACCTTATGAACTTAAAAGATATTTTGGCGGCCGCACCAAGGCTCCGAGAGGAATTGAATGGGCGATTGTCCCGAAGGCTAGTGCCCAAAGTTCATTTGAGTGCAGTCCTGCCAAGGGAGGTGGGGTGGACACAAGCCGGGACAAGGATGGACTGGAAGTGTGCGGCATGCGGGCTGGTGGACCTAGTAGTGAAAGAAAAGAAGTGAGTGGCAATGATGGATACGGGCGCTGAAATGAACATCATCAGGGAGAGAGATGCGCTCATGCTTGGAATGGAGATCGACCGGACGGATCACGGCGTGCTGCACGGGGCTAATTGCAAAGCAATTTTTTGTGGCACCGCGTCGAATGTAATTATAGAGATTGGCAAGGTGCGAGCGAGGACGTGCTTTTTCGTCATGCCGGACGTGGACCACCCTATTCTTCTGGGCAGATCGTTCATGTGCAGGACGGAGACCCTGATCTTCAACAAGCACGATGGAACGATGATATTGCTCCTGAGTGACCCAACCTGTGGAAACTACGAAGTTGTCACTTGTCGGAACACGGGGCCAAGGAGCGAGTGGAATAGGCCTAACCCTGACTCGTTCACTTATGTGGAATCAGCGAACGAGCGGCGGAGGCTTTGGGAGGAGTCCGAGGAGGAAGGTGGGGCGGAGGTGCTGTCACTAAGCCTTACAGACGTAAGCAAGGCTATGGAGATCGTGGCAACACATGATATGGCGGACCCGGAGGCCATCAAGGCCTTGCAAGAGCATGTTTTGGAATGGCCACAGGCAGGAGAAGTGGAGCTTATCTATCGACTTCCTGGAGGAAAAAAAGGGTCTGCGATGGCACAAGCGCAAACAACAAGCCGACCGTTTTTAGGGGACGGCTTAAGCAGGGCGCCCAAAGGCGGTACAAAACGGTAGATAAAAAGTGTCGCCCTGTTTCCGTGCTCGTTACGGAAGATGAGGAGGCTTATTACGAGCGGGAGCGATGATTGATACGGCGAATGCAAGAGCAGGCACTGAAGGATCCATGCTGTATCAATGATGGAAATGAAGAGAAGTTGATAGTCGGGGAGCCAGGTTTTCTTTCGCCCCAGGAAAGGGCGCTGATGGTGCAGCTAATGAAGAAGAGGCATCGCGCGTACGTCTTTAATGACGACCAGCGGGGGAGGCTGGATGTGGACAAGATCCCAATGATCCAGATCCACACGGTCCCCCACGAGCCTTGGAATCTAAGGGGTGCGCGATACCCAAACCCTGATGAGGAGAAGATAGTGGTGGACTATCTGGATGGCAAGATGCGCACGCATGTTGCTGGCTACTCTAGCGGTCCGTATGCTTCCCCTTGGTTCTGCTTTATTAAGCCGAACGGGACGCTACGATGGGTGCAGGTTCTGCAGCGACTAAATGCGGTAACGGTGCGAGATGCGGGAGGCTTGCCAAACGCGGATGCACTCTCAGAGTCATGCGCGGGGCGGCCTATAATCTCACTTATAGACCTCTATTATGGGTATGATCAGTTCCCTGTGTACCCGCCCGATAGGCCGGTGACGGCGATGCACACGCCAAGGGGGCTAATCCACATGAATGTGGCCCCCCAGGGTTGGACGAATGCGGTGGCAATGGTGCAAAGACATATGATCAGGGCCATGCAAACGGTCAGTCCGCACATCACTCACCCCTACATCGACGACTTGGCGGTCAAAGGCCCGAAGGAGAAAGAGGAGGACGAGGTGCAGCCCAAAGTGAGGCATTTTGTCTGGAGGCATATCCAGGATCTCGATCTGGTCTTGGGTCTGCTAGAGGAATACAACCTCACTGCAAGTGGGCCAAAATCCAAGCACTGCATGAGAGAAGCCACTGTTCCGGGGTTTGTCTGCAACGAGAAGGGTCGGAAGCCGGACGTGAAGAAGGCAGACAAAATCCTAGAGTGGCCGATACCCTTCCAATCCATAACGGATGTGAGGAGCTTTCTTGGCACCTGCGGATTTTGGAGGAGCTTCGTGAAAGACTTCGCCGCCAAGACTGAGCATTTAAGGAAGCTGGTGCGCCAGGACCAGGAGTGGGTTTGGGGCGAAGACCAGGAACAAGCAGTGACCAGGATGAAAGGAGAGTTCAGGGAAGGAGGATTGGTGCTGGGGGCGCCGAACTATGAGGGGACTGAAGAAAGGCCATTCATCATCGAGACTGACGCTGGGCCGACCGCCTTGGGAGGGGTCCTAATTCAGGCGGATGCTGAAGGAAAGGAGAGGCCGCTAAGATTCGAAAGTCGTACTCTTAACACGACTGAGAGAAATTACTCTCAGTTTAAGAGAGAGACGCTTGCGGTACTCCATTGCCTAAGGATCTTCCGGAATTACGTCTTCGGTAGGAGATTTATATTGAGGGTAGACCCGACGGCACTGGCCTGTTCCCTGAAGAATTGTACTCCATCTAACCCAACCATCGCTCGATGGTTGACGTACATTTGGATGTTTAATTTTGAGTTGGAAAGCATTCCGGGGAACAGGAATCGGCCTCATGGCCTGAGCCGTGTCAACTGGGACAGTGGGAATCAGGAGTCGACTGAAGACACCCCGCCAGTCGACGGGTTCTTGGATCAGGAGGAAGATGTGCGGCTGCATATAAACGAGTGGCCGCTGCGAGTACCCAACTGTGTCAGCCATCCCATATGGATAGCGCCAAGAGGGTACGAGCGGAAGACCGACTTAGTCCTCAAGCCATTTCAGGAGGAGGATCTGTGGGGAGGCAAGGATGTCCAGTGGATGATGAGGTTGGCGTTGGCAGGGATGCATGACCTGGTGGAAGAGGTGAGGGCGATAGAGGAAGGGCCCACTCAAGTGGAGGAGCATGAGCAGCTGATGGGAGGAATGTACGTGCTCACTAATACGCTTGTGCAAGGGGACTTTGACCAAAGGAACTCCCTAAGCCCAATGGAGCGTGAGGGCCTCATCCCGGAAAGCCAGGATGACGAGTTCGAAGAAGGGGAGATTAAGGAGGCATTCCGGGCAGAGGAATACGATGGGATCTATCTTGAGTTGCGTCTGCTCCTATCCTGCGAAATGAGAGACAGGGATGCTAGCGACAAGGCTCAGAAGATGAGGCACCTCTATGCGGTGAGAGATGGTCATCTGTTTATAAAGCGGCAAGTTGTAAGCCCCAAGCGGGTTGTGTGCGAGAGGAACCGACAGTTGGACATCATAGCGGCATTACATGATGGTATAGCAGAAGGGCACAAAGGGATAGGTGCCACGTGCGCAAAGATAAGTGAGCTATACCACTGGGATGGAATGTTGAGCATGGTCATCAAGTACTGCCAGTCTTGTGTCCCCTGTCAAGAGAGGTCTGCCCAGAGGCCAGGGGAACCCCTGCACCCAAGGTTGGAGACGGAGGTAGGCGCAATTGTACATTTGGACTTACTCTTCATGCCGGCTGCAGAAAATGGGTGTAATTATATCTTCGATGCACGTAATAACCTCACCGGGTTCGTAGACGGGCGGGCTATTCGCTTGAAAACTGGCCGAGTGTTAGCCAATTGTATCGAGGAATACTACTTACGCTACCCGTTCGTCAAAGAATTTGTGATGGATCGAGGATCCGAGTTTACCTGTAAGGAGGTGCAGCTGGCAGGATATGGCGTGGTGGCAAATTACACCACCGCGGCGCACCCTCAAGCCAACGCGCCTGTGGAGAGGGGGCATAGCACCATCACGAACCTCCTGGCCAAATGGACAGAGGGCAGGCCCGGTCAGTGGCCGAAGTTCTTGCGAGCAGCTTTCTTCGTGGAAAACGTCACGGTAAAAAGGACCACCAAGAACGCGCCTGCCACTCTATGGTATGGAAGGCATGCCACCTTCCCTATCAAGAGCTTCCTAAAGACTTGGAGACGGACCTGTCGTTTGAAGAGTTGCTCGATATCCGGGCACGGCAGGTGGGGGCAGCAGAGGAAAGGCTACGAGAGGCCTCCAAGTATGTAGAAAGGAGCCGAATGAAGGATAAGATGCGGTGGGATCAAATGGCCCGAGTGCGGAAAGAGCCTTTGGCAGTTGGAGATATTGTATTATTGTACGACTCGTTCATGGAAAAACAGTGGTCAAGGAAACTTGACAAAAGATGGTTAGGACCCTACAGGATTGTGCGATGCAGCGAGTTTGGGGCCTACCAGATTGAAGAGCTAAATAGATCAGAGTGGAAGGACTGGGTATCTGGGACAAGACTAAAGAAGTTTGTGGCCAGGGAATAGGTAAAACCGTGATCCCTCCCAGAATAGACCCTCGTCCTAAGTATTGCATGTTATAATTGGAAGTGAAGGAGGGCTTGATGTGTCTGAGATTGGGTGTATATTTGCTCTGAAGACTGTTGAGCCCATATGCTAATCCTATCGTGTGCCTGTCTGTTTCGTCTCGCCTGATGTGCAGGTCTGACTTTTTGAAGGCAGCCATGCAGAGGGGCGGGCGGGGCACGCGGCCACGACAAAGACCTCTCAGGGCATCCGGAGGGGGAGAGCGGCATGGGCCCTTCAGGAGAGAGCCTACAACCATGTTTGATGACGACAACATCGAGCTTTTCTTGGACGCCTATCGAGAGCATGCAGCCCAGAGAGGATGGGACGTGTCTGAGAGGATACGTCACTTAAGGGGAGTTGGGGGGTTCGAAGAGCCCATTGCGCAAATCAGGGAGGAGGCCCTGACCTGATCAGAGGTAGAGGCGAGGATGCAGAGACTGAGAGCATCGCCTTTGGGGAGTGATGGGCTACCTATCCGCTTGGAGGAAGGGAACGTGGAGGAGTTCATCCCGACATACGAACAGTATATGAGCGATCAGGGGGTTCCGAGGGATGAGTGGGTGCAGGCGCTACTCATTTGGACCAGAGGAGCGGAGCGTCCGCTGGTGAGGCAGATCCGGGGTCGGGCACGAGATTGGGAGGATTGTCGGGCTCAGTTGAGGGAGGCGTTTTGGCGGTCGGAACCAGAGAGGCAAGAACCCAGGGTTGATAGAAGACGGCGAAGCAAGAGGTTAACGGATTTGGAGGCAAGAGAGTCGGTGGCGTCGAGAGGCGGCCGGAAAGCCTTGGCACAGCGGGAAGAAGGACAAGCAGGACCGACTAGGGCGAGGGAGTCCTTCCCTGCCTGTGGCCTCAGGCAGGTGGAGTTCCATCCAGTCATGGAGGGTGACCTACCGGGGTCCTCGCCACAAGCACCAGAGCGGAGGGAGAGCGAGGTACCGGCAGCACCATTAGAGGCCTGGAAGCCCACCTGGACGCGTCCTAGTGGGAGGCCTCCTCAACAGGAGTGAGCCCTATGGACCCATCAGGAGAGGAGCGGATTCGCCCTGAGCCCGAGGCAGAGCCACTCAGGTTGAAGGGGGTAGGTGCGAAAGATGTTATTGTGGTAGAAGGTGATACTCATCCCGTCTCCCCAACTCGAGTTCAGATGCGGCGGTCTTGGCCAGAGGGCGTCCCGGAGCCGGACAGCCAGGAGGCCCCAGTACCACCGCCAGAGGTCGCTATGTCACCCAGGCAGGAGGTTGAGGCGAGGGGGCCAGCGGAGAGGTGGAGGACGGAGCCCCGCCTGGTCATTGACTCACGGTTAGCCGCGCATGCGACTGAGCACCCTGACATTGAGGGGCCCAGCTTGGCTGGGCCATCATCGGGGCCAGCGTGTGCTGAGGTAGAAGGAGGCATGAGGGCTGCAACCGGGGAGGTCACGGAGGCGGGCACAGGAAAGGAGCCAGACAAAGCCGCCCAGGCGAAGCGAGCCAAGGTGCAAGCCCGCCTCGCGGAGATACATCCGCGGAGGGACAGGATGGAGGCTGCAGGGATAGCGCCAACGCCACCAGTCGACCCTAAGACAAGTGAGCAAAGGATTGACGAGCTATGGGCCAGATGTGAGGGTTGAAGAGAGGCAACTCGCCAGAGGGCACAAAAGACGGGCCAGGTAACGGAGGGGGCATACGAGGCGATAGAGATTGGAGAGCTGGGTTTTTCTGCCACCAGAGAGGCCATCGAGTGGGTGGACAAGGGGATAAAGCAGACATCCATCACAACCTTTCAAAGGTACTCCCTGCTCAGTGATGAGCTGACCCTCAGAAAAGAGGAGTTGGAACAACTGACTGCCCAATTGACAGAGGAAAGGGCACAGAACGAGGCTTGGAGGGCTCGCCTGGAAGCGAAGGAGGCTGAGTGGGATGAGAAGCTCAAGGGGATGGCGGCCGTAGTGGAGAGTCTTTCGGCTACCAAGGTGGTCGACTGGACTGAACAGAGCAGGTACGACATCCAGGGCGAGGGGGTGCAGGAGCTGTTTGGCCAAGAGGAGGTAGCAGAGGCATCTCGGCAAGAGAAGTTAAGGAAGGTATTTTTGGACCCAGTTGAGGCAAAGGCAAGAAGGAAGCCAACAGAGGAAGCTTTGAGTTCAAGGCTCCCACTGAACTGGCTTCGCGACGGGAGGCCCCTACTTCGGCAGATACCTCTATGGAGATACTGACCCAGGAACCCCAACCAGCACTCGTAGAGGAGGAAGCGGCTGAGGAGTCACTAACGATCCTTTTGGACGTGTAGGAGGGAACTCTCACTGGAGCGGTGGAGCCTCCGCAGCTCGAGGCGCAAAGGGGGGAGCCATCACGTTTGGACGAGTTGGTAGCTGCCATGGAGGTGGATATGCCGCCAGAGAGGCCTCGGGGACTGGAGACCCCAAAGCACGAGCCAAAGATGGGGGAGTTGAGGGCACAGCTGGGCTCGTGGGCCACTGGGACCGATTCGGGAGGGCCGACTACTGATCAGCAGCAGCAGGAGGCCACGAGCCAGCCTACTAGAGCCGCTAATCCCCAGACTCCGAGGCCTCGCGAGAGTGAGGAAGCGGCTATGGTAGAGGGAACCCGCGAGGGCAGGCCACTGAGGCTGGATACCCATGAGTACCAACCCAAGGGAGGGATGCAGCAAGGGGAGTCGAGTGCCCAGGAAATTGGAGGAAGAGCTGAGAGACCGTGGCACCTGCCCCAGAGTCATGAAGTGAGCGAGGAGAAGGGAGAGGCACCTCCGTCGTCAGGGACCCAGAGAAAGAAGAAGAGATTTCAGAGAAAATCGGAGGCTATGTGTTTCTACTTCCTGGATGGTGTGCACAGGGCCCTGAAGTGCCCTAAGTTCCTCAAGGACAAGGCTGAGGGGCGGGTTACTGAGCAGGACGGCAAGATGTATAATAGACGGGGTCGAGTAGTAGAGAGGGCTCCAGATGGGGGCCGGGCCCAGTTGTTTAGGCAACACCAGGAGGAGATGAGTGAGTAGGGACTGGTTCGCCTATACGCCAGTAGAAGTAAGGTGTTTTCTGTACATAGAAAGAGTGAATCAAGGGTACAGGGTATCATGGGTCAGATACACATATCCTAGGGACCAATGTACAATAAGGTTTTGAGGTTTTTTTCGCGTTGTAATCCGAGGGCTGAGACTCAGCTGTGTGATACTTAGGACACCTGATTGTGTTGCTTTTTGTTTTGAGATCAGAGTCCACCTAGGTGATGTGAGAGTCAGAAACACCTAGGGTATGAGCCCACCGAATATGAGAGAGGACAGAACACTTGAGTATTGATGTTGGGGTTTGAGAGAGATTCTATTGTTGAGTATATACTGAGTTGGGACTTTGAGACTACTTACCTATGTATGACGATCACTCTCACTCTCGCGTGTGTGGTTTCCAGATGTATGATGATTTGTGTGGAATTGTGTGACAACTATCTCATATGCTTATGCCTCGTGAATGGATGTAAATTGTCTACTCTCCGGTATACTCTTGCGACCTGCCCATGGGCGGATGATAGGGCCGAGTATAAAGAGAGGAAGCGCAGTCTGTTTCGTGAAAGGAGTTGTGGAGATCCTAAAAGGATCTATGAGTCCTTGGAACTTGAAAGCTTATCATGCCAAATGTTTAAGTGTCTAAGTTGTGTTAGGGACCCATAAGTTGGTCCCTTGTGTTGTACTGTTGTTATGATTGAATTGTACCCTATGGTTTATTTGGGAGACTTATCTTCAGGAAAGGAAGATGTTTTACAAAGGTCATGTGAGAGCTCATCCTAGAAAGAGAGGGATGGCTGACAAACCTATTGAATGGGACCTCCCTCATAGGGAGGATGATTAATAGATCTAATGGCATGAAAAGTTGGGTTGGTAAGATGAAAGACTGACGAAAGGAACCAGGTTTTACCGGCCACTCGGTGAAATTTCTTGAGAATGTCGCAAAATGTTTGATTTTGAGAGGTGTCACTAAGATGCGTGACCCTCTTACCCTGATCAAGTTAGGGAGTCACGGCCTGGTGGATCTGGCGGTGCCTTGTGGTTGTGAATGTGGAGAGGTTGCCATGTCTTCGCTGTGTTGTCCCACAGAGAGCTGGTAAATACCTTTCATGTGTGACATGCCTATCCGCAATCCCGCAATAGACCTGTATTGTTGCGGCACACCACCCGGCCACTTGTGCTAATCTCAAGGCATATAAGGAAGACCAAGCTAAATGGTAAAGTTTTAGCACCGCTAGGGCGTAACCCCTAGGGATGGCTGCTGGCCGGCGCAACCTGGCCGCGGGCCCACGTCTGACCACAGGAGTAAGAGCTTAAAGGGTGTGGCCGCCCGGGAAGGTTTTACCCCCGTGGAACGGCCTGGGATAAGGGTCGAGTCGTATGAGTCTTTTTGGGGAGTCCTGAGTGAATGTTTATCAGGAGAAAGCCTATCGTGGCGCAACCTGCGAGGGCACTACCGCTAAAATAACAACGCGGTGGGCCGTAGATCTGGCCTGATCAACCAGACTATGGTGGGCCAAGATGGAGACCTAGCACTTCCGTACTAGACTGCGGAAGCCGCTGAGAGAGAGTTGAGGACGCACGTAAATATGTGTGCTTGATCGTGAGGAATTCCTTGAGAGGAAGGCAAAGAAGCCTTCAAAGGTCTCGGTTAGGGCCCGCGTCCCCGACCATGACCCTACTTGCCCGGTAAGGGTTGGGGACACCCAACGATAGGTCGGCGTTTGTCTAGGACAAAGGGGAGAGGACGGTTATGAGGGCCTTTGAAACTTATGTTGTAGCACTGATGCGTAGTACACCGGCGTCCTAGTGTCAGGGCAATGGAGACCCAGGTTGAAACCCTGGCAGCATATAGTTGTGTGGGCGTGAACTGTTGGGGGCCTCAAACCCGAGTCTGTCGGCTGATCGGATTGGTTCCTTCTCGTCAACATTTTTTTGGTATATGGATGGATTTATAGCTTCCGATCTCACGAACCGACGGGGACGTCGCTTAATATAGTCCGGTAGGCTGTCGGCGCGAATACCCTTATAAGGTTATCCGCCCTGGTTATTGCAAGTGACAGAAGGGCCATCGGTTTAGGCTTGGGTGTCCAAATGGTTACCTACGTATGGGCGAGGGTCGTCTAAATAGGTGGGATTAGTGGGCGCGCGATTTCAAGGCGCGCGTGTGATTCTGCCCCTTTGATCGGATGCCGGGCTGGGTGTCCGCCTTGACTTTGCCCTTTGGATTAGGCTAGGGGCTGGTAGGTCGTCACCCGCATGCCGTGCTTGGCCGGCAGCGGCTGTGGTACGGCCGTGATATGGTTGAGGAGGCCGGCACGGGTACCTAGCGGTCGCACGCTTGTTCATAGGAGGGAGTGAGCCCCCACGCATGTTCCAGCTTTAGGCATTGGGCTGCACTACTTTATGTGGGATTCAGCGCCTGTTGATCCCAGGCTTGGGCTTAGCCCTATAGGTTACAGCAGCGGGTTACTGCAACAGAGGTCCAGGGATCGAGGCCAGCATACAGCGGTGCGGGAGCAGCGGAGCGGCGTGGAGAGAGCCGAGGGGTTGAGGGCCCATCGGGGCTATCCCCCTCAGGCTTTTGCCAGTGGGCGCGGTGGCTGGCCCGGCCCGTGGGACCGGTGAGGTGCCAGTAGTCTATGCTGGAAAAAGTAGATTTTATACACCAGTTTATTTTCTTGCCTTTTAATCTGTCTGTATTTTTATTTATTTCCTAATTTTTTATCGGTAACAGTCCCGTTTGAGTCCTCCGGGACGTCCGTTGAACTTGGAACGATACAAAGAGGATTAGCATGGCCCCTTGCGCCAGAGTGGGACGCATAAATCGGCGAGAGTGTCCAACAACTGACTATTTTTTTGTGGTTGATCGCTGTCGGACCTCGCAGCGCCGGAAGGAGTCGGGCGGTGGGACGTCAACGGTGGGGAGTAGTGATGGGGAGCATTAGCATAGTGAGAAGAGGCCGAGGCGTGACGGGCAGCGGAGAGTGAACCAGGACAGGGGGGCTATGGCGGGTGCATGCGCAGCAGGTGAGAGCGGAGGAGCACGGGCAGACAGGTAGAGAGTGGTGGGGGCTGACGGTACATCACTGGGCGGCGGGCGCTGCGCTAGCAGCAACGGGCCAGGTGGTGGAGGCAAGGGTGCTAAGACAGCAGGTAGGCGGGGCAAGGGACAGACGAGGCGGAAGACGAACGGGAGTGGAGGAAGTGGAGAGGCAACGGACAAAGCGCCGGGACCGATGGGCGATGGGGCCGAGTCACGGAGGTTGCCAGGTACTGGCGCAGCTGTGGCGCATGAGAAAGCAGCGGGGCGACAGGGCGAAAACAGAAAGTGTGAATGAACCCGGACGCCAAGCGAGGCCGGGTGCATTTAGACGAAGATACGGAGATGGCGGGGAAGGAACCAGGGCACAACAGATGTAAGGTGGCTCGTGTGATTCCTAACTGGATCCGGTGAGGAAGGAGTCTGGGTAGGGGTTATCTGGGTAGGCTAATACGTTGGTAGAATTAGAGTGGTGAGAGGATTAGTGGAGTTGAGGTTAGAGAAAGAGATGGTGCGCGAAAAGCAGCGGGCAAACGGATATGGCGGAGTAAATCGGTCCGATCCGCTCGATTCTCGACGGGATCGAGCGAACCAAGGCTCTAAATGGGGGTTTTGAAGACTTGCGAACTCGTTAGTAATGTTAGTTTTGGGTGAAGGCTAGTAAGTAGGGAGGTTAGTGGGGAAGGTGCCGCACGGAGGCTCTCGATAGCTGGCTATGGTAGGACGAGGAGGCGAAGGGGGGAAGATTTATAGTGTCCGCGTTCTCCCACGGGTTACGACGGAGTAAAGGTCGGTACTGAGGATTTAGGGCGGGGCGAAGGCGATGGGAGTGTTAGTTCTGGTGGTAACTTGCTAGTCCAGCCAACCTAGGCGCATGAGCTTGCGTGGTGCAGGATGGGCCAGGCACGGAGCTGCAGCGGCTGTGGAAGGAAGAAATGAGTCTACTCGGTTTGTTTTTTTTTTTGTTTTTTTTTGAAGGTTCAGTCGTTTTTTATCATTGCTTTTATGGGGATCGTGGCCGGCGGACAGTTGCCTATTGGAGACTTACCTGCTAGTTGGCTCGTTGTGAGGCTCGTCGGGCGAGAACGGCAGGGGTAGCCACGTAAGCTCGAGTTGGGGGTTGGCTGCGGGACAGCTGGCCGCGGCTACAGGCTCCTGCTGCCTGCCTCGGCTTTGGCATGCCACGTGCCAAGCCCGGTTGATTGGCTACGACTTTGCCCTCCGAGAACTGGAGGAGGTGAGGAGGGGGTAGAGGGTCACTCGACTCAAGGTGTTTGTGCTGCCCGTGGGTGATGGTGGATGTTCGTGGGGGCGATTCCCTGGCTCGGTGAGTGACGAGAGCCAGTAGTCTGCGGTGGCCAGTCGGAACGGGAGTAGCCTAGGTGCTACTTGCTGTGTTTTGGACGTGCGGACTTCCGTATCGGTGCCCTGCAGTACTCTGCTGCCGGAGTCCTGCTTGCGGCGTAGGAGGTTCGTCGCAAGTTGGATGGTTTCGCTATGGGGTAGGACCATACGGGCTGCAGTTTCACTGCCCGCTGTCGAGTGTTCCGCTGCCCATTTTAACTGCGTCCTTTTTCTGCTACATCAGGTATTGAGCTCGCCGGGGACTGCCGTGCTGCTCCAAGTACCGACTGTTTAAGGGCCATTGACCAACTACGTTGGAAACGGCGAGGAAAAGACCCGAGGGGGAGTGGGGAAAGGGAGACTACTGCGTATGGGCCTGACTGCGCACGGGCTGTGGCCAACTGCTGTCAGCTGCCCATCGCTGCGGTCTGCTGCGGCTTGCTGTGCAACAACAATTGCCGAGCCTAATACGGACTGCTGCTGCGAACGAGAAACGCCCTCGGCTGGTCCACCTCTGCGGCTGCAACTGATCAGCTCTCGTACTGTGGACTGGTAGCTCGGCCGGGATACGCCCACCGAAGGGAGGTGACAGCTCCAGCAAGGTGGAGGTAAGTTGTGCCTCGCGTAGGCCCTATCCTATCGTAGGGGCTCGCGAGAGGTATGGCTGACGCACTCGGCTGGAGCGACC